ATTCGGTTATCATTGACGAAAGTATTTATTTATTTATATCAAATGGCAGGCGTCTTGATGGTTATCATTAGCCCTTTAGTTGACTTCAGACTCCACAGAGGAGAAGGAACGTCGAAGGGAAAAAGTCGAGAGGGGGGGGGAGGGAAGAGAAGAGTGTTTCAAAGATGTAAGAGACAAACACAAAGGTAGAAAAAAGGTGAGGTGAGTACTGTGGAAATAGTCGAATATGGCATAGAGTGAGGTGATGGTAGTTTGAAGTGAGAAGTCAACTGCCGAATAATGGACTTTTTGCCATATGAATATACGTTGCCCAGGGTGCACCACGTGGAGGTAAGTCTATCGCACACCCCATTATATCAAATATCACTTTACAGAAAGTATAATTATCACAGAAGTAAAAGAATACTTGAATTTTGAGCTTTAGCTTACAATATATCTTACCAAATTATTTGACTCTTGAAATACAAACTCCGACATTTCATTTCCTGTCGCATAGGAGATGTGCATTTCTAATTAAGCTTTTTGCAAGAATAACGGGTCTTAGTTTAGTGATCGTATGGAAACTAAAACGATTTTTTTATATTTATTCGTTGTTTAAACCTGAAAAGCTTTAAAAAATAATAATTGGCATTTTTTATATTTTCAGACACTAGGTGTCTGGAATTTGATGGTCAGACCCGCATTGTGAATAAATTTCCAAATGGTCCATTATACAGTGCCAACGAACGAATTTCCCTCCAATTCCAAACCATCCACTCAAATCTTGAGTTATTTTTCATCGGTAACTTCAAACTCAAAGCCATTACTATTCTAAATTTGAGTTATCCAACTCGTATTAATATTAAATTCAAGGTAGAATTAAGCAGAAAACATTTTGCAATTCTACGCACCCAGAACCACTTCAACGTTTAAACATTTTTCCCAAAAAAATATTTAAAGAGACGACAGCAGTTTAAAGCTTAAAGATAAATGAAAGAAGTATGAAAGGCCTCTATACTTTAAGTTTTAGCAATTCCATTTTAAAAGTAACCTGAACTACTAGATAAATAAAACTCACTCGAAAGTATTTCAATCACCTCAAAACATGCGCTTCGCGCATTTTAAGCTACACATCTGATAGTGAATCAGAGGTGACGTTTTAATAATACGCATATTTGCAAAATTTGTTTTATTAAACCGATTAAATTTCAAAATTAATTGGTTAGTTGAAGGGAGGTAAATGAGCCCATGAGGAACGTATCAGTAGAATTATTAAGACTCTGTTTAAGCCAACTAAGAGCGGAACTGTTTGCGTAATACACAATGTATGGGCGTTTATGGGCCATAATAAAATGTAATGAAATTTTTTTTGAAAAAATCCCTCTAATATGCACTTTGCAGTCACTATTATACTGACCATGAAAATAGAAGAAATTTCATTTATGATAACAGTACGTGCGAAATAGTAAATATTTTATTGAAAATAGATGCGAAAAATCCCGTTTTTGGTTTCCAAGAGCAGTGAGTCGTTAACACATCAATTGGCAATATTTAAGATTCATAAAACAAAACCATGCCATATTAATTTCTCAGAGGTCATGACCTTGTTATCCAGAGGTTTTTTGGTAAGACGATGCAATTAAATCCGTTAACCACTTTATTCAAATCACAGTTACGCAATGAATACTGGTGAGAAGAAGGAAAAAAGGTATTATTTGAAAATGCGGAAAATCTTCTTTGCACTGCAATTAAACTCGCACCCAAAAGGTTTTTTATCCTTATCAATCTTCATATATTTCATTCACTACCACATTAATGTTTTAGATATCGCACTTTATCTTGATTCGAAACTCAAAACCGTTCAAACAGGCAATTTTTCTTACACAATGAAAATAATAATTATTCCAAAATTTTAATTTTGGGGAATCATGAAAACAATGATAAGTTGAAAATATACACCTGCTTTAAGCATGCTATTAAGAAGCTCTGTCTGTTTTATTTGCAATTATAAATTTGCTTAGACCAAAAACAATTATTTAAAAAAATATTTCCTATAAATGTTTGCATCATTCAATTACACTCCGTTTAAAGATTATCTGTGGATTGTGTGACCAGTAATACTTTATGTTTCCTGGTTAATTCGCCTTAACTTAAGAAAACAAATTGTTTTCTTGAATTTAAGACAATTCGGCTTTAAATTTGTATGACACCTTAGGTTCAAATGATTCCTATTACAAATTGACGCTGCAGTCAGGGCTTCTTAAAGTGGAAATTCGACTTCCTGCTGAAGTAATTTCACGCGAGCCTAATGTTCTTCCTTCTACAACATCAACTACACAAAAGGTATTTCAATGGTATCAATCAGCGAGGGCAGGTTATCTCACTGTGAACGAAATGCTTTCCTCTTTTCCTTGCTTCGATTCTCGATTGGATGACGGTCAAATGCATCAGATAATACTTGAACGCACGTCAGATCAAGTTAGTTTTTTCTTGATTGAATAAATTATAATTTTACCTGACTTCCAACTGATTTAAGTCTTTGGCGCAAAAGTACAGTTCGAAAATGACAAATAGCGAATACGTGCACTGTGAATTACATGGAAACTCGATTTGTTCGTGGCTTCCCAAAATTACACCTAATTTATAAGACCATATTTATTTGAAAGCCTTCATTTTGCCGTTCGTAAAATATAATTCAATCGCGCTCATATCCACTGAGAATATGAAATAAATAGTGCAATTGGGATAAAATCAATTCACCATTTTGATAATAAAAGAACGAGAAATTTTTGGTGGTAAGAGGCCAAATAAAACTGAGTTTAAACTAATTATTGATTCAAAGGTAATAGTGTAAGTCATCGTTACAACAGGGGTTTAGTTCAAATATTTTTAATTGTAAAGGAAGTAGGAAGTAAATAATTAATTCCACAGTATATAATTTAATTAATTTTATGAATTCTGTCAGCGCAGCTGATTTGAGTAGTATTGCATTCATATTTCCTGTAGTACGAATTAATATGAGTTATCTTACATCGCCAGCCATGTTACATATACAAAATAACTCTGCTGAGTGCGATGCATGATTCTAACTCATGAAAAAACTGAAATACATAATTGTTTTAGAGGTTAGAAGTATGGAAGTGCTGGAATTTCCTATCCACGACAATTTTGTCAGCTAATATGTTAAAACGAAACATGGTACATGAAAGAAGTCAGTAGGAAGTACATTCTGTGATGGAAAATTAATAATAAGTAACTATAGCACGGTCTTATTTTTAGCAGTTAAACCGAATAATTAACCCTTCCAAATTTTTTAAAGAATTTTGTAATTACCAGCATTATATTGGAGGAAGTACGTCGATTTATGTAATTATTGTTCATTATATATTTGAACAAACAGATTTATGGCTACAAAACTTAAATTTGAGAAGCGAGTATTGAGATTTGTGAAATTTGGTTAGAGATTTTACTTCGAAAATGGAATATGTGCAGCAATTACTTACTACTTCATTGAAAGTTTATAGTTCACTTAATGTCAACACTGCAAATAAAGTTCTGATGTATAAGGTATAAACTACATCTTTCTTCAAAAACTTGAAGTAACCAAACGTTGTTCACTACGATTTCCTGTTTGCAGTTAGGCTAGATGATCTGCGATGTCGAGAGCGCTGCAACATTGCATTCCTTTCCGCAGGTTTCCATAAACAGATGACAGGTTTATCCTTTATCGCTTTTGCTCAAATTCCTATAAGGGTGAAATTCAAATTAAAAATACGGAATTGGTTTTGGCAGTAAAGTTAGAACAGAGAATTCCCTAGAAATTTGCTGAACCAACAATGTCAATTACGTTTTAGCGGCACATTCACTTGCTAGAAAGACGTACACATGAATGTTGACTATTCATGATATCAGAAAGTCCTCTCCGTGCTAAAATGTTTCAGGAAAATGGCAAACTTCATGTTACCGTCGTGCCATAAATCAATTTGTTTACAGTTCTTCCATCCTAATGATTGCTAGTACGACAGGAGGCGGTTCGAGTGACATTTTTATTTCTGATTATGTTTGCAAATGAATGCTTTTAAAAATCTGTTTTTACCAGTTGCAACATTTCCCCCATTCAGAACAGTTGTTTGCATGGAAAATACCCGTTTTTTAGATAACTGATGGTTCTGAATAGTATTTGATGCCGTGTTTCACTATCGCGCCGTTATTCCTTTACTTTACACAGCTGTCTCAAATATTTCTTTCCATGTCCAACTAAATTTGTTTTTAGGACATTTAAAGAACATTCTAGACAATTATCTGATGCCGTTGAATAGTGCTAAAGTTTTATTTATAATTTTAGGGGCCGAGAATGTCAACTATATCAATACGCATCCAAAACATGAATGACAGTTGTAATTCTGATCATCATACTTTGTAAGTAGGAAGCTAATGTGTAGGGGATTACTTTAGATTACTAATTTTAGGCATCGATTGACACACTTTAAAATAAATAAATTGCCTAATTTGCTGAAAAGAAATCAATGCATTTGAGTGGAGCTGAAATAACTGAAGCAAACTTGAACGAGCTGTTGATTTGCAGCACTTCATTTTGAGGTGTTTTTAATCGTTTACAGTCATGTTCAATCTGGTGCACGGAAATTGGGCGGTATGTACGTGTATGTCAGGATTGCTTTAACACGGTTAACCTTAGTTATAAAGATTATTGGAGTAATATGGGCTATATACAGAAAAACAACAGTAATTTATGTCGTTGTATTTGCAAATTCCATATCGCCATTCAAATTCATTTAAACATTTACTATTTAAAACTAATTACATGTTTTCAAAATATATTTTTATCCGAAATCGGATTATAAATACCAAATATCGAGTCATGTTAACAATTTATTTACGCATCAAAACCCAGTACCCCATCAGTAGCAAGTTTTTAAGTAGACATTCAACAATCCTACCGGCATTGCCGAACGGCTGTATGAGTTATTGTATTTTTTCAAATTGAATTAGTTTCTGCAAAAATAGTTAAAAGCATACTGAAGATAGGTTCATGATGTCAAGTTGCATGAATGTAGCGCTTCGTTTAAGTTCTTTTCAGTTGTTATCAGATGGATAAAATATTAGCTAACATCTTTTCACTTTTAGATCATTCGGTTTCTATCAAATGATTCAATAGTGGACTCATAAACCTAACGAAAGTAGGATAGTAATCGTAATTTAGATTTTTTTAATAATAAAGTAGAAAAAGGGCTGCTGAAGGACTTGTGTCCTCCACCATTTCAATACCTCAACTCCACAGGTGGTCGCCAAGTCACCACCAAACGCCTTTAATTGTGTTCGTGTGTTCTCTGCTTCTCACGTCTCGGCAGCTGGTCGTGAAAAAATCCCCCCTCCCATATTTAACGGTCAAATGCAATAAGACAATTAATTGCATCTTAAATGACTCTTCTAAGCTTACTGCAGCCTCGGCTTACTTATTAGAAGCCCAGCCTTAGTGACAAAAGTTAGAGTTTTATTTTCCCAACCAATTAAAGTATTACCTAAGTGAAACAATTTAAAACGAAAAGGGGGATTTATTTTGAGTTCTCATTTTAGCCGTTAATATTTTTTTCCTTCCTAGATAAAGGTAACCATCGACGATAACTTGGTATACCTTCAACAGCTAAGTTTTGACACAATCGAAGCGGGCTTCCTTGAAATCCAGCATATGGTTCTTGGGTCGATGCCAAATTCTTTATCAACTAATAACTGGTTCAGTGGTCGAATTATCCACGTAGGTTTTACATGCATTTGCCTCTTTGAACGGTTCTAAGATTTTCACACACAACACCGAATGCTCCATTCAGCATACCTATTTTTAAAATATCTTAACAAGTGACGCATTATTGCAACACTTTCTAGAAAATCTCAGAAATATTGATATTTTTTCTTTCCTCACTCGACGTCGCTAAAATTTTAGCCTCCTAAAAGGTATCGACAGTCTCGGGTTGGAGGGTTTTGAGGGGCTGATTCACAGCTCTATTCAAATGATGGATCAAAGCACTTCCATATTGGCAAGATTTAAGCTCAGCAAAATGTCAAGCTGTCATGAGATGGCATTTGCCAGCATATTGATAACTATGATGGCCTACTTGGAAGTCACCTTTGGGGATTGAGCTAGTGAGACCAAGTATTATCACTTCGGTTGCATGCTTTGTTTGAAGGCGTCACACTGGGAAACAATGCTAAGAACATGACGTTTTACCAACCTTTATTCTTACGCACTCTGCCATTCCTTAAGAAGCAGAGAGGAATTGGCCGGAAAAATGGTTGACTTTTTCTATTTAAAGCGAACTCAAAGTACTAGAAAAGAATGCGTTGCAAAAATGCAAAAAAATATTGAAAGGGATTACTTTATTTGTGTCAATACCAATAAGGAACCTACTACTAGATCTTCCAACCCCTTTTTACAATTACTTGTTATCACTAATAAAATTGAGAAATTGGGAAAATTGCTTTTTCGAATCGAAATTGCGCATTTTAAAAACACAATTAAGCGGATATTTGCACTGTAAGATAATGCTTCCGGTGAAAGTAGCTTGGTTTCTATCTCGCAGTTTTGATTAAAATATAATTGCCAAGGAGTTGTTTATCCAAAATTCTCCCTTTTTACATATAATTACAGAAGATACTTAATTAGTAAGTGAATGACTTTAAATTTCATTCACCATCTTTCGCTTAATTACTACGATCGTATAAGAACAAGTAGAAATAAAGTTTTTCCACTTTGTTAAGGTTGAATTGCAAGTAGATGATACTACGATCAATATACTGGAATTCGCTGAGAAGTCATTGCATGGATTCGAGTTTACTGGGAAGATGCCGATGAGCTGCATAGGTAAAGCCGTCTTGTCTCCATCAATATCAATGAGACACATGTTTCTACTTCTACGATTTCCTTCTTACCAAAGAGAGAATTATCAACCAACTCTGTTCAACAGACTTTCCAATTACTCCAAACGGGTTTTAAGTTGGCAGGAATTGGAAATTGATTTCAAATCATTGACCAATGATGGGTTTCTTTTTCTTATCTTCTCAAATATTAGCAACGCATCCAGTCCGATGCTTGGAGCAGAAATACGAAATGGAGTGCCGTGTCTTGTGACTGAGAAACAGACCATAGAGATGGAGATGGGAAATAACTCATCTCTTCGACTTGGTATAGGAAAGATATCAATTTCCCATCATCATGCAGCTACCATAATTGCTACTGGGAGTGAACCCATTGAATACTTTGTAGCAATTAATGAAAATGAATTACGGCATGCCTTTGAGGCTGAGATAGCCGGAATTCTCGAAAGCGCTGTGGAAGAAGAAGGAGAAAATAACTCGTACTATGGGGAAAATATCCTTCTTGGTGGCAGTAATTGGACAACTGAACTAGAACTAGGTCGGGGTTTGAATAAGTTTTGGAGTGGTCTTGGACGAATGAAGGATTTTTCAGGTTGTATAAAAAGGTAAGTAATGCATATTTTAACAGCTAAATGGCATTGAAAATTATTATCCATCAAAATGACAAAGATAAATTATTCTGAAATAGATTCGGAAATTATCTTTAGATTAGATATTAATTAATTAATTATTTATTTATTTTAAATGGCAGGCATTTTGATAGTTATCATTGGCACTTTAACTGACTTCGGGCTTCATAGAGGCACAACATGTCGAGAGAGGGAACGAAAGAGTGAATCACAGATGTCAGGGACAGATAGACAAAAAGGTATAGATAAAAAGGTAAGATGAGTACTGCGAAAGTAATCGAATATGGCACGGAACCGGGTTATGGTAGTTTGAAGCCAACTGTCGGTTTATAGACTTTTTAGCTGCATAAGTATACGTTGCCCAGAATGCCCTACGTGAAGGTAAGTCTATCGTTCATCCCAGACTAGCTAT